CTAGTTTTCCCTTTGAAATAAAAATATTTTTCTGGCCCCATTGGCATTTTTTGCAAAAACATTTTTTTTTTTTTTTTTAGTTTTAAGCAAAAACTTAAATACATTTTTCAGAAAACAAGATTTAATTTAAGTAATTTTGCTAAGTAATTTTTTTAGAAAGCAAAACTTATTGGTCATCATGCTTCTCAAATAAATGTGTCTTGATTAAAGAATGTTTAGATATAAAGGAAAACAAAAAAAATACTAAGTAAGAAATGTCTTTTTTTGTGGTGAATGTAGTTGTGAAGAACACAAAATCTATGAGCGCCAGTTGATCTGTATTGAATTGTATTTCTGTCAGGTGTGCAGCTCTTTGTCTGTTCGTCGATCCGTTCATTTGCAATCGAGCTCATCTCTATTCCGGATCCGACTTGCTTCGTTAAGCGGCTCTTCGGGGTTCGTTAAGGGGCCGCGGGAGTGAAGAGCGGATGCCCTCGGGCTCGACTCTCCCCGAAAATAGCTGTGATTGTCAAGAAAAGGAAGTCAAATGTAATTGACTACAAGTCATAATAGTAGAAATAGAAATAATGAAAGGAACCTTTTTAGACAGGGAAAAAAATTAATGCTCCTCATTTAGTTTTTTTTGTTTTTTTGGACAGGGTGAGATGTCACTAAATAGCAAGCGGAAACGAGATTTAGCGAGCATTGGAAATGCATGCAGGTGCAAAACCTGAAAGGCCACAGATCTTTTTAAACTCTCAGGGCATCAGACTCAATGATGTCATGGTTTGTGGGTCCTCTTGGGCACCTGACGTGCCATGAGCCTTTAAGACGCGACAGAAACTGCTTCACCTGCTTCATCACGGCGCTAAACGCATCCAAGAGCATGTTTTGATCTTCCTGCAGAAGCAGCCAGGAAATGTGCAATCATGTCTGATAAAGCTACGATTCAAAGCAAAGCAAAAAAGGCCATTTTTTAAATTCTGTCATGTTTTAAAAACCAGATAGCTAGCGAACACTAGAGACTTTGCGTCGGTAGCTTAGCTTCGTCCAGCGTGTTGTTAATATAATCAGAATAGATCGTAGGACAGAGTGTAGGGGGCGGGGTTAGGGTGAGGGGCGGGGTTATGTGATTAGGGTGGGGCATCTCGGTGGGGGCGGGGTTTGGGTTATTTTTGACTTCGCTCCCTGGTCATTTTGACTGATTTTTCTGTATCTATTCCAGGTTCAGTACTGAGCGAATCTAGTTTTACGCTGTCCTACCCTTCTGTGAGTTCTGTTGACGTTTACATGAGCATCTTCAGAGATAGCAGCGAGTTTGGTCCACTAGGAGGTCGAGGGTGCAGGGAACGAGCTGTTACACACGTGTGTCGTCAGTGTCTCATGTCTGGCATATTTCACCACAAAATAATCAGAAAGTGAATTCACTAAAGAAAATGAGCCGTATTTTTAGGACCATTGCGATTTTTTGCATTATTTTCATGACAATTAAATTACATTTATTTCCCATATTTTCAAAACTACAATGCAAAAAAATCTCTGATGTGAAAACAGTAATTATATATTATTTAAATTAATTATTTTTGACATTGTGCTAAAACTTGAGTGAAATGTATATGATTTTGGATTTAATACCTCATGTTTCCTGTATCATCATTTGTACATGCTTAGCATAAACTATTATTTATCATTCAAAAAAAAAAAGTTTATTTTTTTATTTTCGTATAGGGTGCTGCCATTCATTTTTGCTGATACGATTTTATACATTCAGTCATTATACTACTACATCAGTACAGACAATAGAACAAGAGGGAGAAAAGGTGATTAATAATTAATATATTCACAGATTTTAAGAGAAGAAAGCTATACAATTATTTATGAGGAGTATTGTTATTGTGTCTTTGAAGCATTAATACTACAATGACGTTTATATTCACGTTCGTGAATGCTTTTGTGTTTTTTTCTTTTCTTGAAGTTTTGTATTTTATTTTAAGTCAAAGCTGAGGGTTTCTGAATCGTCAGTGTCACTGGGTTTTGATTGCGATGACATCACTTCCTCCTTGGAACACTAGAACATTTTAGGAGTGTTGTAACGTGAGCGTAAGCACCATTTCTACAGCTGTGTACATTAGAGAATGATGTTTGAGGCTCATGATTTACTTCAGTGTTCTTGATTCTGTAAACACCTGCTGATTTGTTTATTCTTTTGGAAACAAGTTTTGATACCGGATATTTGCCTTGAAACTGTATTCTCATTATTATGTTCATGTCATATTTTTTTATTATTTATTTTGCTCATATTCACTGTTTATTCAGATGAAATGAACTGTGGGCCTCTGACAGCGAATTAAGCTTCAAAATATCTCTAGATGTGGAAGACTGTTTCCATCACGGAATAAAACTGTGTAAAAATGTAATTGTGACTTCTTATGTCACCCTTCAGACTTTTTTTCACAATTTGGAGTTTATATCTCACAATTGTGAGTTTACATCTCACAATTCTGAAAAAAATCAGAATTATGAGATATAAACTCACAATTATGAGACAAAAGTAAGAATGAGATATTAACTCATAATTACAGGGGAAGAAATATTAGATATGCACTTACAGTTATGAGATAAAAGTCAGAATTATGAGATGTAAATTTTAGAATTGTGAGATATAAATACAAATTTATGAGAATAAATTGTATGAGAGTTGGAATTATGAGATATAAACACAATCATGAGAAAAAAGTCAGAATTGTGAGATATAAACAAAGTTATGAGACAAAAATCAGAATAGTGAGATTTAAACTCAAAATTATGAATTCTGATAAAAGTCAGAATTATGAGATATAAACGCACAATTAATAAAAAAAGTAAGAATTATGAGAAACTCACAATTATGAGACAGAAGTCAGAATTATTATATATAAACTCAAAGTTACAAGACAAAATAATTATGAGATATTAACCCACAATTATGAGAAAAGGTCAGAATAGTGAGATATAAACTCAAAATTACAGGAAAAAATTCAGAATTATGAGATAAACTCAAAATTGTGAGACAAAAGTCAGAATTATGAGATAAACTCACAATTAAGAAAAAAGTAATAATTATGAGATAAACTCAAAGTTACAAGACAAAAGAATTATGAGATATTAACCCACAATTATGAGAAAAAGTCAGAATAGTGAGATATAAACTCACAATTATGAGACAAAAGTAAGAATGAGATATTAACTCATAATTACAGGGGAAGAAATATTAGATATGCACTTACAGTTATGAGACAAAAGTCAGAATTATGAGATGTAAACTCACAATTACAAGACATTTTTATGAGAATAAATTGTATGAGAGTTGGAATTATGAGATATAAACACAATTATGAGAAAAAAGTCAGAATAGTGAGATTTAAACTCAAAATTATGAGATAAAAGTCAGAATTATGAGATATAAACGCACAATTAATAAAAAAAGTAAGAATTATGAAATAAACTCTGGTAGCAAATCATTTAAAATGGGATGTGGGGGGGTGCAGAGTGAATTAATTAAAATAAAATATTTTTTTGTCAGTCAGAAAACTTTCGGCTCAGCATTTGAACTGGAATTATATGCATATGTTAAAGTTTCATAATGTAAAGCAGGTACTTATGAGTTTAACATTTTCATAATCAGATACAGACATGTCTTGAGATTCATGTTTTCTTTCCAAAGTGATTGTACAGTAAATAAAACCACACAGACACATTCAGGCAAGACTGTATAATGAACTCAGTTCTCGGGAGAGTATTTATGTCGGGGCATGTTGTCACATGTGTTGTAATTTTATACAAATAATTAAGATTTCTGTTGACAGCTTACCCCATATACAGTATGTGACCGCATGACTCAATATTTGAATTATTCACAAAATATTGTGTATCTGGCTTTTTTTTTCTCCACTGATTGGCCAAATTATAGTCAGATGAACATTAGAAATAAGAAAAGTGGGCATTTCATGCAGTTTCAAGAAAAAAAGACTAATATCAATTATTTATGAAATGTGCTGAATAGTAGTATGTATAATATACTGTGTGTGTGTGTGTTTGTGTGTGTGTGTGTGTGTATAGACAGAGAACATTAAAACAAAGCAATTTAAATATTATTTCATATACTGTATGTATATATATATATATATATATATATATATATATATATATA